GATTTTGTGATGACCTGCATTGTTAATCTAATAAAAAAATGGTTATTTTTCCTTACATTTGGTAACTTTTTCGTCTAATCTTGGTTAGAAAGTTCTTTGAGCGGCGGCAACACTGCTTGCTAGTTTCGCGTTTCTTTACTATATCTTTATTTCGCTCTCTTTGAGCGTAATGGGCTGTTTTTGCTTACGCGTAAAAGCACATTTAGCACATTTAGCTCTAAATGCTACTCTAAAAGTACATTTATCCATACAAAATTAGTCACCTAAATGCAACTAAATGCAATTCCATTTTTGCATTAAGAATCTAAATGCTAAAAGCAACCCTGTGATCTTCCAAAATTTCCACGATTCGAACATGGTTTAAAGAGAAAAAGTGGCAACATTGCTTTTTCGAGTATACAGTTGCTAGCTGCGTTTCAGTGATCGCCGATCGAGATTTCTTTTATTTTACATTACATATTTGGATAAAGAAAAGTTAAGCAAATTCAACATCGATGTGATGCTGATAGAATCTGGATCAAATTGTGATCAACTCTGTTTGGTTTGTTTCTTAATTAAGTGAGGAAATTTTAATTGACAGCACCGATAAATGAATACATACACAAACAAATGTTCGGTTATGGTTAAAACAATTCAAGTTTTTGTATTGAATTTTGGGTTTAAAATTTATTTATTTTTTTCAGTAGGGTTTTTGCACATTATCTTCTGCGTGAGAATTGATCGTAATATATACGGATCTAAATAAGAGACTGCAACACGGCTGTTTGTCAAATGCATACGATTTCGAACTCGCGTAAATGTACATTTGCCAAATGCTATAGCATGAACGCTCTTCGAAAAAATATGTTCGAAAGTGCTAAATGTTGCATTAAAAATGCAGCAAAAACGCTGCATAAGAACACTTGGGGTGGTCACAGTTCGTTCCAAATTGTGTCTGAAAATGTAGACGTCTACATTTTGAGACATCTTTAGCATCAAACTGTGAGCACCCCTTTCTAGCAGTCGTCGCAAAATCGTCTCAAAACTTTGCTGGTGTTGCCAGACATTTCCTCTTGGCGTGCATTTTTTATATATCGCCTTTCGATTTTGTTTCTGAAAAATTGTAATTATTTAACTTAATTACCAATTCCTAATATTTGTTATTTCTTTTCCTTGATTTGTTTCTTTTCATCAGAAATTGCGCTCAAATTAAATGCAAATACAAAAAACGTGCCCATTAAATAAAAAAAATGTGATTAGTATTGCCATAATGCAACCCTGCTGCGAGGTTGCAAAATGTAGACGCGTAAAAAACATACCTTTGAGTG